AAAAAAAAAAAAAAAAAAAAAAAAAAAAAAAAAAAAAAAAAAAAAAAAAAAAATGAAGGAAAAAAAGAAAGAGGACGAAGCTAATGGGAAAGCCAGTAAATTTTCATTAGGGCTCTCGAAAACTCCGGCCGCTCTACACAGCACCCACGCGTCATCACCGCGGAACTTTGCCGGAGAGGAGAAAAACACCCTCGTACAACCTGTTGGGTACACGTGCCCCGCTCGATCGTCCGAAGACCCGCGCGAGCAGACTGCACTGCAACTAACAGCATCGAATAAATCCATTGCCGTGTGACGGTGAGCCGCCTAAGTATAACGGGGTGTCCTCCTCTTAGGCTCGACTAGACGCCCATCGCGCGGTTTAAGGCGTCGTCCAGCAGTGCACGATCACTGACGCGTGTCACATGGTAAGTACTATGGTAGTGCATCGTGGTGTGGTCGATATATCAGTCGTCGCCGGAGGCTTTTGTAATGAGCGCCCTAGCAGCGTCCTCCCCCTCCTCTTCTTGTACTTACTTTGTGGTCTTGTTTTTCTCTTCCCGAGCTGTCTTCGGATGTTGTACGTGTGTCTACGACGATGGTGGCGTTGATCGCGCGCGCGTGTGGCTTCGCTTGAAAATCTTGGAATACGGGTGTATACATACACACATATATATATATATATGGCGGCTGAAATAAAATGATTGGCAAAACAGAAAAGAGAAAGGACAATTTAAATTACAAAACAACATGTCATTTATTGTATACGACGTATAATTATAATATACCTATCATTAATTGGAGTGGAGTATGTGTAACAGTAGCGACGCAATGTTTTATGTTTCAGCCGCAGAATCTCGTGATGATGGGCAACTTCCCGGACTGCAGCGTCAAATTGTGCGATTTCGAAATATCCCGAGTTATTCTCGAAGGCACCGACGTCAGGGAGATCCTCGGCACCCCTGAATACGTAGGTAAGTCGTGTTTTTGAATTTTTCGGGCAGTTGCTGCATGTATATCGTGTCTATGGATATGAGATTGTCAGATGAGACGCGTAAAGCAGTCAAATAAAGACAAAGAAAACAAAAAATTATTTCGAAAGAGTAGGCAATATTCTCGTTCTTCGTGTCCGAATGAATAACGTTTCACGCAGTTCATGCACGCGCGATTAATTTTTTTTACAGTTCGTCATTGTGCCCGTATTACAGGTGTAGAGCAATGCTCGATTATATTTTTTTATATGATCAATTTCTTTTCTTTTTCTTTTTGTATCCCGCAGCTCCCGAGATTCTTCACTACGAGCCCATCACTCTGGCTGCTGATATGTGGTAAGCGATATTTCCATGTACTTATTTATTAGATTTCGTTAAAAAAAAAAAAAAAAAAAAACACAATGTGTATCTCGTTCGTATACTTGGACTTTTGTGCGTCCATGTAAATTAAGAGATTACGCATACATAATGCAATTAGAATCCACGTGTGGCTCGACCGAATTGCGTTTACACGAAGCTCTTTTGCATAGGTCGCTGGGCGTAACAACTTACGTGCTATTGACAGGTTTCTCACCGTTTGGTGGCGAAACGGACCAGGAGACCCTTAAAAACATTATACACGGCCAAGTTGACTTCCCGGAGGAGCTGTTTGAGGACGTATCCATCCAGGCACGGGATTTTGTCGCCAAGCTCCTCATACTCGAGCCAAGGTAACTGCCGCGCGACCAATCATCATCATCAAGGGAGAGAACTTACTCATTATGCTAAATTTTTGTAATATTTTTACATTGTTTGTTCGCGAGTCGAGAGCTGGAGCTCCAAGAAATGATTAAATCATTTATGTCATCGTTGTGCTTGGCATTCACAAGAATTTCACCTTATTTCGAAATACAATACTCATTTATTCGATTAATTTATTCTCACTTTCGTAATATTTCGTTCTCGGTACGAATAGGGCGACAATACCGATTATGTTCTAATAATAAGAATCGTGACAATCATGATGTAATTACGCAGTGACAGAATGACGGCAAAGCAGTGCTTGCAGCACGAGTGGCTCAGGAGCGCACCGACCCAGGCCTCGTCGCATCTGCGCAAATACTTGTCAAAGTCGCGCGATGTGCTGCTGGAGCGGGTCGTCAGCCGGGAACACCTGCGCCGAACCGCCCTCCTAGGCCAAACCTACAACACGGCCTGTAGCAACAACAACAACAACAACAACAACAACAATAATCTACAGCTTTTGCTGCAGGATAATCAGAACAACCAAAACAACAATTGGACGGGGCTCAGCCAGAGCGAGGTGTGCCTGAGCCGTGGCAGACTGAACGGTAGCAATGGGAGCCTCAGCGGTGGCAGCAGCGTTGGCGAAGACTGCTGGGGGGATATGATCGGTTCTTCGAGGATAAGCCTAGCCGATTCGGTGTCGTCAAACAGAAGCATCGGCAGCAGTCTGGGGACCAGCCAGAGCTGCCTGCTCAACAGGGAACAGACCGAGGGTCTGCTCAGCCAAGCCCAGGACCGCAGCTCTATGAGGGCCAGCCTCGCTCAAAGCCTCAATCGCGTGGGTCTACTGTCAAAAATAAGGCAAGTCTTGAACCATACTACAATGACTTGCGAATTAATTGTTTATTACATATACAATATGCACACACGCAGGAGCCTCAACCAGGTGCAATCAAAGTCGCACATGTGTCTGCGTTCCCTGCTGAACGGCCCGGCAGAGCGCGATATCAATCAGAAGCAGCAGCAGCAGCAGCAGCGAATAATGATGGGTAGTTGCCACTTTGACGGGTCGCGGGAGAAATTGTATGGGCTAAAGTCGCTCTCAAAGTCACAGGGCATGCTCGACATTTATCGCAGCCTCGAGAGCCTACAGAGGCAACGCCGCAGTCTAATTAGGCAGAGAGAGCGCTCAAAGACTGAGGACGCACTCGTACCTTTTTTCCGGCACCTTCGTCACAGCGGTACAAGTAGTGCCTCCTCTCTTGTTGACTCGACTTTCTGGGCTCGATCAAGCAACAACAACAACAACGACGACGACGCGGGCAATGATCAAGTCCAACATGTGAGTGATGTCTGTATTATAGTCACTTTTACCCATACGTCAAGTCAAATCATGCATGTGTTCGTCCCATTGTATATTATATTAGTCCGATTACTTCTTTTTGAACAGCAGAACTCGATTCAATTAGAGGCAGCTGAAACAGCATCGATGCGGTTGTTGGTGGACAAGGGGACGGGCGTAAGTGGTAAGTTGTGGGTTTGTACTTATACAGGTCTTTTGATATTCTCGACCGACTCGACGGGAGCGTTCTGAAATTCATGTGTACGGCAGTAATTGCGCATATAGATGTCGGAACGCTTCTTTTTGGTTCCCCAAGAATAATCGGACCAGCAGAGAGTCCCGTTAAGCATAACTGCAGCTATAACCAGCTATATACGTTGCTTTGCTAGGGACCGAAATGGTTGTCGGCGGTAGCGAGGAAAAGGCGAGCGCAGAGAGTAACCTGGACTCGTTGCACTCCCTGGAATCGGACACGTTGACGGACGACTCGGAAGTGACGGGGTTGTCACGCAGTCCCAGGAACAAACAGAGCTCAGTAGGTTCCGAGTGCTACGTTGACTCGGAAAACGAAGAGCCCAAATTTAGTGTCGCTCAGCTCGTTTCAGCATTCAGCCGTCACCAGAAAGTGGCCTCGTCCACAAGTCTCGAAGCCTTGATGACCGAAGGCTCGACAGACTTCCCGATCGGGCCCAAAGCTCTGCAGCTTTTCGTTAGCTCCGACATCGATGCCAGTATCGTGGGTAGCGAGCGCACGACACTCGTGCGAAGAAAAACGAGCTATAAGCCCCGCAAGGATTGGGAGGAGTTGCGCAAGCAGAGTGAGAAAAATGAGGCCTTGCTTGACAAGAAGGATTTTTTCAACGATTCGGGAAACGAGGACGATGCCGAGTTCAACAACAACAACAACAACAACAACAACAACAACGTCGACGACCAAGACAACAAAGATAAGGGAAAATTTGCTTGTGACGGCAAAAAGAAGGAGCCATTGGCTAATAGTAGCATCAACCTTGAGCGTGCCGTACTACGGCACAAGCCCGAAAGTCGCACCTCCAACGCGATTAACAACAATCTTGCCTCGAGGATATCGATCTTCAGCTCGGAGACTCGACCTTCGCCAAGTTCGACTCATCACAAGACCAAATCCAGGCTTGCCGTCAAGGAGAAGCTTTGCACGGGCTCGTACGGCCGGGCACTGGACAAGTTCTCGAGCAAGTCGGGCACCGCGGACGGTATCAAGCCGCTTCAATTACCGAAATCGAGGAGGACCACTGTTAAATCTTAAGATACCTACTCATCATTAAGAAAATACTGTCAATTGTTGATTAATTACTCGATTTTTTATTATTATTTATCAGTAAGACTTTTTTACACGGGTTTGATTACGTTATCTGGGAAAAATCTGTATTCCTTAAAGTTTGCTTAATATAATCATAAAGCAAGTCTATGGAATAAAGAGAGACTCGCAAGTCCTTGAATGAGATCATCTCCCATAACAGGAACGTATTATTATATAGAATGTTTAGAAAAATTGAACAGCGCCCACGCAGAGGTGCGTTTAAACGAACTTGCTCCTCTGACGATATAATTAATAATACCATTGTCAGCAACGAGGAAGAAAACACTTGGTCACGCGCATGCATTTTTTTTTTCGTGATTTTTCCGGCTGTTTACATTTTTTCTTTTCTTATAATTTTCATAAATGAAATAGTTTATTTATTATTTCTGTGGTATAATGCTGCTAAAATTTATTACCAAGTCCACGCAATTAATGATATTTAAGAAGGTTTAATTTTCGGGGATTGCGATGTCGTATACATGTACGTATGCATGAATCAGCATCCCCAAAGACTCCAAACTTTAACACAAGTGCAGGATCGTCTTAATTGTGCGTGTAGGTATGCTTTTGCCATCTATGCGGTTACTTATCAAGTCCCAAAAGACATATGACACAATCTCTTCTTCGTTTTTTTACCTCTTTCTAGGAAATGATATAAATTTTAATTAACCATTGACGCATGAGTTTCTATCCTTGATTAGTTCATTTCAAAATAGTATAAAAAAATTTGGCGGTTTCTTTGTGTCAAGTATTTATTTGTAGGGGTAGTACTGCACTGTTATCAGACTTTTCACATAAGCAACTCTATTAGATTATTTCATTATTGTAGACGTTATTAAGTATATGTCATTGTCATGTACTCTGAATAAATTAATTGGTGCAGCAATAGCATTGGGACTAAATATAAAAATTAAAACACAAGCGAGTGACATAGGAATTGATGGACGGAATGACTTGCATCATGCAATGTGGTACACTCCAAAGAGTACCACTTGGAAAAGGCAATGCGTATATGTATGTAGCTCACCAGCGATGAATGAAGAAACAGTGTGAATTTCTATTTACTTTGCTCGAATAAAGCAACAAGGAAAAAGTCTCGTTTGCAGCGGTGCCCTAAATGGCTGTCCAAGGATTCGCAGATTAACTCATAGACTTACACGTATACTCACATAATTATTTCGTCCAACTGAAAGCTGGTTTTCGCTTTGACTACCTGTAGTTAGGTTTATACAATCAGTAAGATACGGTAAAGTAATAGTAAATTTACAAATTATTCACGTACTGTAAAAAACATCTGAACACCAAATGATTTGTATGTTTGTGATGGTTTAATTGATTTTGTACGGAACTAACATGAAGAGATAAAAAACAAGAAATTAAAAAAAAAAAAAAAACAAATGAAAAAATTATAAAGGAAATTAAAACAACAAACCAGGGGGTATTAATGGGTCATGGGACCCACGGTAAGAACGAAGTTCTTTAAATATGAGATGAGTATAGACACAACTTCTCAGGTAACAAGAGGGTCGCCAGACCCACAGGAAGAACGAAGCTCTGTAAACGTTAGTACTACATTCATGTTGTTTACTGAAACAAAAACTTGAAAAACGAATAAAAGAAAAAAAAAAAAAAAACAATAGTTTAGTACTCACGATGGTTGAACTTCGTGAGAACGTCGTGCATAAATACAGTACTCACGAAGTTAAACCATCGTGAGTACGAAACTATTTATTGGTGTTTTTTTTTT